ATTTATCTGGTCACATCTGAATTGTATAATACTGTTCTCGATGTAATCATTTAGCTAGCCAATCTAGGGTTGAAATTTTTTAGGCTTTTTATGGTATATTTTATAACAGCTATTTAGCATGCGAACAATCTTTGCGCACATTTCGCATAGAACGATGAGTGTATATAATAATTATACAAATATGTTTTTATTCACCCCTGATACGACTCATAGATGGCAGCACATGGCAAGAAACTCTAATAGCAAAGCAGCGCAAAGTTATTCGTGCGCATATCCATCGCGTGCAAACAAGCGACTCGGAGCGAGAGAGATAGAGCTAGAGACCTGCATGGAAAGTGAGGACGAGAAAGGAGAGAGCTATAGCTAGGGGTGACGGAGAGAGGGAGAGGTGTGGTGAGAGAGGAGGGGAGTTAGGGAGAGGAGGGAGGGGAGGGGTGAGACGGGGAGGAGAGAGGTGAGACGCCGAGACCATATATATGAAGAGAGAGAGAGAGAGAGAGAGAGAGAGAGAGAGAGAGAGAGAGAGAGAGAGAGAGAGAGAGAGAGAGAGAGACGAGAGAGAGAGAGACGAGATGGCGAGAAAGGGGAGAGTTAGAGAGGAGAGCGAGAGGAGAGAGAGAGAAATTAGGGGGAGAGGGGGAGAAGAGAGCGAGAGGAAGGGGAGCGGGCGAGGAAAAAGATGGGGAGAGAGGGAGAGAGAATGGAAGAGTGAGAGATGGGGAGAGAGGGTGGGGGAGACTGACGGATATAGGAGCGCGGGAGGAAGACAGCGGAGAGAATATATATGCATGGTGGAGGATATGTATGGAGCGAAGTGGAAAGGGGTGTGGAAGGGGCAGAGCTAGCATACTGTATATATATCACACCAACAGTTGGTCGCAATGTTTTTGCATCGCAACTGGTCTGACGTTTGTAAACCAAACATACAGTTATATACGTACCATAGGTTATACTAGTGTTCTGCGCGACTATATTCTAATATGTATATTAATTATATGAATTAACGTACCTATACACTGTCGTATGTGTTTTCTAGACTATAGGACAAAGAACGTTTTTTTAATTTCTGGAGACTACCCCAAAACCTACGAACTGCGATATATACTCCCGTTGTCTCTTAGATATACGAACTACGATCTACAATAATATATAGTAGCTTCTCGTGAACTGCCTTAAGTATGACTACCACACACCCTGATAATCGGCGCGTTTTGCTCTAATGTTAGCATTGGCGTGCGTGCTATTAAAGTACATCTGGCGTAGGCGTGGCAGGGTGTGTCAGTCGGGGGACCCGGATGTTGGGTGTGTCATGGCGACCAGCTGATTATACTGATGGGCAGCTCACAGTAAGAGATTGCGACAGCTACGAGGTAAGTTCGCATTTACACACATTCTAAATAACAAGGGCTCTAAACGTATTCTTGTGTTTCAACACTGCGTAATTAACCTGTGGTAGTTACTTTTTTATTCAGTACGCCGCGCAGGTTATTGCCATACGAGACATACTAAGACGAGCGTGAGCACAGCTAGCTCTTGAGATAAATCGCGGGTCCATGTATTTCTTGTAGCAGGGGGTGTTCGTGAGACCACACCCGATTGCCATGTATTGATCGGTACTGTCATTCTTTGTCGGTCGGCGCTCTCTACTGCTGCTGGCTGTATGGTTGGCTTTACTTGCGGCTTATTTGATTATGGGGAGTTGTTATTATCATTCAACCATACTGTTGTTTGTGACATATATTAGTTATTGTTTATACGGTTCATATGAATCATTTAAATATTGAATGTGAACAATAAATGAATAACTATATAATATAAGTATAACCACAAGCTAATTTCTTACTAAATATTTTTAAATTATTCTGCCAGATAGACTATTATTACTATATTATAGTGATGCTTTATTGCTTACTATAATTACACTGCTTAATTTTATAACATAAATATGCGTTTATAGACTGGTACCCATTTTCCACCTTCACTTCGGCAAGTATCCTTCGCTACACCAAAGCACTGACCAGTCTAATGCGTTTAATCCATATTCATAATAATAATGTAGTTGTTAGAAAAAAGCAAAGTGATTGTGTGGTAAAATTTTGTACTACAGGAAATTAAGGTGGATGATCAACTATTAGTATTACCACTTAATGACTTATACTTGATCATAATATCAATTAACTTTAAAACATTTGAGCTCTATAGGTATGTTGTAAATGGCTACAGTATATTCATGATTTTATTTCATGTCTGAAGAGTTGCATAGTTGTTACCCGCAGTATGAACGAAAAGGGAACTGTATGCATGTTTTATAAACAAGAAATAAATTAGCTCTGTAAATACAGAACCCATAAAAAAGATTGATGGTGACAATTCAATGAAGTTTTTAAGACTGTCAAATGTAGTTAAAGTTTATTATTATACATGCATATATCATGACACTAACATAAAGAACTTTCTAACATTCTTTTTTCGAATGCAGTATATCCTACTATACTGTGGAATGCACACATACAGATCAAGAGTACAGATGCACATGCACGCACGTGCACAGCTACATGCATACCTTATGCACACATATTACATGTTGGTAGCTATGGCTTGTGTGCTCAGTCAGCTACCTCCCCCCCCCCTCTCAGCCCTGAGCAGAAGGAAGTCGATAACATCTGCACAGCATGGGTGTGGTAGAGACAGGACATTATTTCTGTGAGGTGTGGCCAGTGGGCTGCTTCATCATACACTGTTGCAGTTCTTACTGACAGCCACGCGAGTTGAGATAAGTGCAGTGCCGCAGTTTAGCAGAGAGTTTACCGCCCTTGGCGCATTGCCAAAAATTCCTGCTTCCTATCGTCCCTGAAAGAGCAATGCTCTCCTTCTCCTGGGGGATGTAGGTGGCAGCTCATTTCGCATGACGACGTGGATATATATATCATACGTAACTGCCTGGCACCACATATAATTCTGCCGGTTTGCTAGTGTGTGCTGGTGTCGGCACACTCATTGTCAGTTTATATTTATCAATTACATCGAGCCCCTGTAGGCATTCAGTACAGTGCAGCTTGTCCGAAATAGGGCCAAACTATTCCAGTCACTTGGATAAAAAAAGGTAGTTGTTATGAGTGCTATGAGGGGTTTAAAGAAGCAGGTAATGGAGTGTAGAGATGAAAAGCACCAAGATTTGAAGAACATTTTGTATGACTGTTACACGAGTCATGCAGTGTGGAAAATCTTTATCTATCTGTCATTGTCGATTGCAATAGCTGCGTTGTGCACCTATTTGAGTGATATAACTAAATTTAGTCATTCCATTCTATTCCATTGAAAAAGCTTTCTCGAAGCGATGTATTATTTGCCGAGTCTCTCACATTTTCAGTGTTAAGAACTGTCTTTCTAATAGTAATATTAGGTTAGAAAATATTCTGTTGAAATAACTGACAATCGATTAGAATAACTCACGCGAACATCTTGCATGTGAATGAAATGAGATGATATCAAACTGGATATGGGTGAAAGGAACTCGACAAGATATATATCATGTTACATACAAGATGTGCCACTAAAGGAGCATTGTTGAAAAACAGTGCCTCTGGCCAACTTTTGGCTGTCTACACATGCAAACCACCACACCCACCTTAAGCAGACGGCCTGTTTTGCACTGACCTTTCTAATTACCATTGTTTCGTATTAATGTCTCAGGCTATTGACAACTCACCCTGTCTAGGAATGACAATAGTAACTGCATGATTGGTTAAGAGATGTGTTAGCTATCGAAACATTGCTCTTTCTTGGCAATCCATCATGTCATTGCCTTTTCTCTCCTGCTCTGACATTTGCATTCCGCATTGTAATTTGCACCTCCTCCCTTCCATGCTCCCCCCCTATAGCTAAAATGAATATCGTTTAAGGGAGCCAATACAGTACAGGGAGTGGCCGGCAGTAGTAGGTGTGAACTAAAGTACACAGTGAGTTTTATTGCGAACTTGTCCTGTATATATAGCATCGATGTATACGTAGTTCCGGCTAATCTCCAGGTGAAGGAGTGGCTGTCTCACTATATCTCTTTCTAGGCGTTATCTTGCTTATCGTTCTCTTTGCCAGTGTTTGTGCACTCAGCCATGGAAACATGCTGGTGATTCGTGATACTCATTAACTTTAACTAAGTTAATTTATATTGCAAAATTGTGGTGTTTGTTAAGTGCAAATGGAAGAGAGGTGAGTAATTGTTATTTACATGGTATATAGTAGCACTATACACGTAACTAGAACATTACATATATAGAGTAAATATATATTTTATGATATCTTTGTAGTGTAAAACTATTATGAGAACTTAATTAAGAAAATCAAATTGATATTGTGAAATAAAAACCATAGCATTATGTTATACATAATAAGTTATTCGCAAGCGTTTAATGGGCAGATGATTGCTTTATGTTTTACAGACCCATAAACAAACGAGCCAAGCTTGGAAGTCTAGTAGCACAAGAAGGCTTATCATGAGTTGAGATGACAAGTGAAACTGCAATTTCAGCTTCCCAGCAGACATCTCCATTCTTTGAGTGTGACACTGTGAAACAAGAGGTAAGTGGAAAACATGCACACGTAGAAGAGGGTGGTTAGCCGTGTATAGTTGGAAAACTTCGTAGCGTGAAGGTGCTAGTGCGTAACGGGAATGTTAATACAATTTGCACAATGCAGTGTTCTCCCCAGGCCTTTAGCGCAGATCCTTGGGTTTGACGTGCCTTTAAAACTGAAGCTAATATGCGACATCCCATAAATTCTCCAATATGTCCTAATTTCCAACCTTGTTTGCTTTTGAAAATCCCAACAGTCATGCTGTGTTTTCACAGCTTTATGTATACATCTCTGAACTGATTGAGGGTACCTGAGTATTAGAGCCACTTAATTATGACACGTCTAGTTGATTATAATTGGAATAATGCCCCTCCCAAGTCCTCCCCTTCTGTCCATAAACCATACGCTTTCTGAAAATTATGGGGAAAACCCTGCAATGCGTAACGAAGTAGTTGAAAATACAAAACAAAGTGCGTGATCACAAAAGGTATGTGTGAGTTACGGCAATATGGCTAACTATTGTATATAAACTGGCAAGTACACCCAGCCACCCAAGTGAGTGAAAAGAACCCAGATACAGACAGTAGAGACAGTGGGAGCCAAAATAACACGGCCTACTCCAGTGCGCGAAGTTAGCGCTATTTTGCCACCGGCCGCTGGTTCAATCCCCCATATAATCAGTCTACTTGGCCTATTCAAAATTTTGCCTATCTTGCCTTTATATCAACAATATTTAGCAATTTCCTGACCAGTTATTACTTAGTGACTACTAAGAAGTAAATAATGTTCCAGTAATTCCTGTCAAACAAGTAGAATATTTCACTGATAGCAATGAAATACTGAAATACTACGAGTATGCCTATTAAACACAAAGCTAATACGTTTATTGATAATAGAATAAATTGAACAAAATTAAGGGCCTGCTCAAACTTGTAAGGGCCTGTTCACATTTTTGGCCAATATCATGCCCTGCTACTCTAGTTGTTTTTTGTAACACCTTCTTACTCTGCCATTATCAAGTGCAGCTGATTGACAAGTGCGTCCATTTGTCTGTGTCAAAAATAGCAGCAGAAATATAAGTGGTGCGACCTATAACATACAAAACTGAATATCAGTGATCGAAGTTCGAGAAGGTGGAGGTGGGGGGCTATATGCATTTTACTCCTGAACTTCAGGTACACCGTTTCAGGCCACAGTTAAAGAAATGCACAATTGCCTCACAAATCTCATCGGCTTGACATAGGGTCACTGTGATGAAATACATCCTCAATCAAGGTCAAAGGTCAATAGGCACTGGGTGAAAAGGCACATTGCACGTGTGCATCAAACAATATTATAGGTGTCCGCATATTTTTACAGATGTCAGAAGATGAAGAAGACACAGAATTTGATGCGACTCAAGCACTCATAATGACTTGTGACAGTGTGACTGTGAGTGTATGTTATGAGTGAATCAGAGTGATACACAGTAAATAACACTGTGTATTATTTATACTATGATTATGAGCATAAATGTTGCTGAAGGGGTCGTTGTCGTATATGTAGTACCCGAGGTGTCGGCGAGTATGTCGCCTACGCGTACTCCCTAACCCTAACCTTAACCATAACCATATCAAATAGCTTTACAAGGATTCACTGTTTTTGTGACAATTGAAAGAGAAATATTATTTCTACTGATTTATTGATTATACCTTTAAATTCATTAAAGGTGGGCCACTTATGTCATTTTCCCCAAGCGAAAAGCAGTGGACTGTAGTTACTGGAGAAACTCCCTTGAGCATATAAAACTGAAGCACTTTAAACTGAATTAGTTGTAGTTCGTTTGTTATATATGCAGCTTCAAATCATCACAACCAGAGAAGCAAACTCCTTGCATGTGGGTGTAATCCAAAATGTATACCACAATACTTTTAGTAGTCTTGTTTTGATACCTCAGCTTAAAAGCACGATACGACATTTACTTAAATATACCTCATTGTTTAGCAAATGTGTCTCTAAGGAATGTTCATTCATATATAGATTGAGAAGTATTATAGTGTTTCTAGTGTTTGCATGTATGTTATCAAAAATAGATCATGAATATAATTTATAAATGTAATGATATATTTTTGACATTCTAAATTTGAGTATAGACAAGGGATACATACCAGACCTTCCACAGTGATTTCCCTTGGGTTAAATTATTGTGTTTTTTACATTTATAGGTGGCAGATGTAGACGAACAAAATGAGCCCGTTGACCTATCAGTGAAGAAGTCACCAAGAACAGATGATGATGGTGACAATTCTTCATCATCAGGAACAGAAGGTGACACATGCGCGAGTGCGTGCGTGCGTGCGTGCATGTGAGTGTGTGTGTGCGCGCATGTCCACCCATGTAAATGCATATATGTTTATGTGTGATTTGGTGCCTTAAAAATATGCATATAATATATTTCTCATACAATAAAAATTTAAAAGTTAATCGATTGTTTCTGATTTTCATCACATAAACCTGTGTTGCAGTTGATACAAATACGAAGGTTACACCATGTGCTGCTCAAAAAAGGGGATTGACTTCATTATTGTCCCTCCAGAGAATAAAAGAGGCATCGATGTCATTAAGGTAAGATATTGAACAAGATAATTACTGGTTAACATATTCTTAATGTATTAGTAAAGTAAACTACCATGATATGCACACTTAATTTTGCTGTTATACCATCTGCTGTGTGTGAGTGCGTATTTATTTATGTATATATGTATGAATAAACTGGCTTAAAATAAAACACTCACTAGAAGCGATAGAGAATCTAGAATGAGTTTGTGAAGGTTTGAATCCATGCAGCATCATGTAACGTAAATTGCAGACAATGGCCTCCACAACAACCCATACACAATCCAGTGATCGCCGTGCATGGACAGAAGCGACCAACCGTGCTGCAGATGGGGCCTCGCTACGCGATGCCGCAGCCAGTCTACACGGACGATGCGGTAATGTGTGACACACAGGAGCAGAACTCGTTAAAGAAACGGCGCATGCACCGATGCGACTTCGGCAGCTGTAACAAAGTTTACACAAAGAGTTCGCACTTGAAAGCACACAAGCGAACTCATACGGGTAGGCGGATGTGTTGGTTAATAGGTAGCGAGGAAATAATTGGTTATTTTAAATGCTAGTATTTAGCAAGTAGTTCGTAGTTGAAACTTTGCAAATAGTTCCGCATTGTAAAGTAAAGTAAACCGCATTGCAAAAAGGTTATAGACTCACTATGCTGTTTAAAAAATGGTTATCTTGTTTAACCCAGGCAGATGGCACAAACCAATAGGTGACATTTTAGATGGGGTAACCTTCCACACGTGCTTGTTTGGCAGTCATTTGTGTTAAATGTCAAATTGGGTGCTTTTTGATTCATGATTGTTTACCTGTTATTAGACTTAAGAGTCAGACTTAGAGCAAAGTTACAGAGGTAGTGTGTTTCTTCGAAAATTGCAGGTGAGAAGCCATACTTGTGTTCCTGGGAAGGCTGTACATGGAAGTTTGCTCGATCAGACGAACTAACACGTCATTACCGCAAGCACACAGGACAGAAGCCGTATAAGTGTACACTGTGCCAGCGTGCCTTCTCTAGATCAGACCACCTCTCGCTTCATTTGAAACGACATTGATTAGAATATACAGTGGATCCACCGTGGACCAAGGAGCTATATATAACAAGGAGAGGAAGCGGATTGGCTGTGTGGTTTTCGCCTCAAGGACGCCATCTATGGACCATAATCAGCTGAAACGGCTGTGCAGATCCGTCCCCCAGAGACAATAGAACACTAATCTGTTCTGGACCAATATGACCAAATATGGCAAATATTTGGGCCAGATATGGCGGCGCTTCCTCTCCTTGTTATATATAGCTCCTTGCCGTGGACTGACTGAGTGACGGTCAAACTCGTAATTTGCTCACCACTCACGTATCACGCGTCTTTGGTCCCTGGTGAATCCAGCCAGCCTGCCTGAGGTTGTGAGCAAGTGTGGGTCTCAGATCGTCAGCATAGCACAGGGCACCTGCTCTGTGTAGTAATGCTGTGAACAAGGTGCCACTGCAAGCAAGACTAGATCCACCCACCACCTCGGGATGAGTAGTCGCACTTCACCAAGAGGATTACGGCGTATGGTAATAGTGCTTGTCGCAGTTGTACAGAGCCGTATGGCAACTGTAAGAGAAGCGTCGTGATAGATCAGACAATAATATTGCAACCCACCATTGATAGCTAGCATGTCGAAAATATGAAGCTGTGTACATTGCAATTAAATTTATTCATATTTTGCTTGTATGACAGATAGAGATCATATGGTAGGGGTTTTTGCATGTCCTACATTGGGGCAAAGTGCACGTTTGCAAAATAAGTCAAATAATTGGCCAATCATTTTTTTCAATGTAAATCAAGTATTTCCAGTCCATTTGATGTAAAATGGTTATATATAGGTATTATTTAATGCCTATCAATCACGGTTAATTTTTGTGTACTGGATTTGCAAAATCAAATGTTTATGAGATACTTTTTCAGTGATGAAAAATGATTATTTGTAGTGTACAATAATTATTGACATATTATAATTGTTGTTATAATAAGTATATTGGTAATAATATTCTTTTCCTAATTATTTTCTGTTTCAAACGTACTACAAACCAACCAGTCAATCCATATTCCAACTATTGGTTGTTTACTTGATAGCTCTGTTCTAATATATTATATAGCACAGGTTCATGTTGCTACAAAAACAAATGCAATTTAAAATTATGGCCTAATATGAATGCAGACATGCTCATTTAACAAAACCTGTCATCAAATTGAAAATGTTATCAACCTGTACAGCTGTGTAATTTATTGTTATAATTTCATTGAGATGTAAAATGTATTGTACAAATATCATACGATAATTATCAAAATATACTTATCATTTGTATTTCTATAGTGTCTGTATTCTATTAATCAATGTGCAGAGACCATTTCATTAGTAGATATGAAAATTTGAAAGAATTTTTGTTCCAACAATAATTAGTCAATCATATCAACATTTGGGTGTTTAGGTTTTGTGCAAAAACAAGTGAATAACATTGATCTGTGTAATACATTCTCATCCACTTTAGGGAAAGCTTGGTATGGGGTGGGGTGGACGTATTGTAATGTAATTGCCTATTAATTTACAGTTTTATATACACCAGTCATGTAAATGTGCCATTTATAACGACAATGACTGTCATATATAAGCTTTAGATGTTTCTATGACACTAAGAAACATATGATGATAAAGATTATAAGAAATGGCTGTATATGATGATAATGAAGTATATTTAAACGAAATGTACATACTCCATATATAGTATTTAGTATGTTATATACAACTGGTGTTTGTCTATATAGTACAAAAAGTGCATGGGAATAACTTGAGGTGAATTTCCTGAGCCCTGCAAAGTACTGTGATTGTATAGAACACATTTATATCAGATAAATAAAATGGATTGAAGATACACACCTGCCTAAATTCTATAACCTATACTCACGGGACCTTATGAGTGATGACTATAGTATATTACATACGGAGAGTTGGTATGACAGATGAAAGCAAGCAAATTGTCTTGCTCAAGGTAATTCTACATAGTGCTGCCATCTACATGTAGTTAGCGTTTAAACTTGACATATCAGGACATTCTTAGCAACGATTAGTACTCATGAAAAGTAAAATAAAAAGATGAAATTGTATTACCTGGCTAAAACAAGTGCCGCAGAGCGACAGCGCTCAACTGACGTGTACTGTAGCCAGGTATTCTTCTGATAAACTCACTGGCAACCGAATCAAGTGCGCCCTCCTGCCACCACGTTCGCGCTCAGAGCATATATATCTAGGATACTACTAATACAGATCTAAAATCTATGATAGGCTTTGGTATACCTACTGATAGTACAGTAATAAAGATACAGCTGTGTAACTTTAATGACTTCGCTATGTTTTCATGTTATCATGGATATGCGTCGAGCGCGAGCGTAGTGGTGGTAGTGGGGGAGGGGCGGGTGGAAAGGGCTCTAATAGCAAAAGCAGTTCAGTCCTTTGTCCTCTTCTTGAGGGTCAAAAGGTTATCAGACACTTACTCTTCGCACGTCAGCGGAAAGTAGATTTCATGGTCTTTTGAATAAAGTGAAAAAACGGTAGGTCAGCGCTGAAACAAAAAAGTTTTGCACTCGGTCCGTTAGACCATGTCCTCAGAAAATGTCTGACCTTTCCCCAACTGCCCTTTGACCTCCAATTTTGCGCTGGTGATGGGTTTCCTTCCCATCACACTATACATCAAATATTAAGACCATAGGTCGAGCCGTTGAGATTTGTGCCGCAATTCCGTATTTCCTCCTATACCTTAAGTTAAGGGGGAAATATTCCCCCTCCATTGACACATCTTGACATTTGACCCTTGACCCCCAAAATCGACATCCCGAGTCCTTTTCGCGACCCCCCACCCCCCGACGTCCCGAATATCAAGACCGTACGTCGAGCGGTGAAGATTTGTGCCCAACTGTTGACGCACGGACGGACAGACAATCATGCGATTCTACAAGCTGCATCTGACTTCGTCAGCTGAGCTAAAAACTCACAAATTTCATCTCTTGTACAGTAATTCGCCAGTGAAAATCTTGGTATGACATAAAGTTGTGTAATACGAACATGCTTTCCTACCAACCAGTACATAATTCGAGATGCATTCCCATAGGAATTTTTTCAGGGCAAGCTGGGCCATAGCCACTGGGGTAGCTGCCCCACTAGATTTGGGAGCATCATAAAAGCATAAAAGCTCATGTAATAATTGTAGGTAAACCGAAAATTAATGGAATAAATAACAGAACCAAATGAGCATTTACAAAAACAATTACACTAGAAAAAACAGAATTATCCCTTCAGTCTAACCTAGCCTATGTGATTTATTTCATGAAAATTTTGGCCCCTCCTAAGAATTTGCTCAGGTACCTACGGCCCGGGCCAAGACAAGCATTAGAAGCAGACTTGTGAATAAAATTTACATTTTTTACACATACATTGATTATTTTTTGGATAAACCATAGCGGTAGGTGCACAAGTTAAATACACACAAAATAAGTGATAACTTGGAGAGTTATTTGATTGAATATTACAATTTGTGTTTAAAATTGGGCATGTTTACGTGCCATATCCTGAATGTACAGGCTGAAATTTACATAATTTTTTTGCTTAAATTTTTATAGGCGAATGTCGAATAGGCGATAGTGTGGGTACTGCAGGAGATTACTGTGCATGTATATAAGGCTAATGCACAGCTTATCACTTGTATGTTTCCAACAACAATTTGGAAACCTGACTTACGATAGTTGGATGAAGTAGACAGCTCGTGAGTACTGAACTGAGATCGGCACCTCTGACTCCTGACATGTTAGGCATTGTAGCTGAATGGTGTCTGTCACTTTGGTGATGCGCTTCTATCAAGTCAACTTTGTTCTCAACAATGGGCACCTGTTCTCTATGCATGGAACTAGCAGGGAATTCAGATTCCGCTAGTACCGACGTCAACACTTGACGTTTGGCAGCACTTTCTTCATTACGATGAGGTTTAGCACTGCGACTGAAAAAAGTTTCCATTGAGGTTTTTGCGACACGTTTAACTGAGGCTCCTTCAGGCAGGGTGAAGTGGCAGGAGGATGCGCTACAGTGACTCTGTTCTGGGCATGTATCAGGCTTGCAAGCTATGAAGGTTGGATCACAGAGATTGACTTTGCTGTGTGGACAGGAGCAAGTTTGATCACCCGCCAGCTCAGCTAGACTATTAGTACTGACATCGGATGTTGGACTGTCTCTGACAGCTTGTTCGGTAGGTCTCGCACATTTGGTGTCACCTGTCTGTTCGGAGTTTCCATGCTTACGCTTGTGGGGATGGTTCGCACGCGTACGTTTCTGCTGAACCTTGAACACAGCCTGCTGTAGTAGCTCCATATTCACCATGTGTGGTAGAATACCCTGTTGCGTGTATGTGGGTCATATAACAAATATAAACCCATTTCTTATTAAAAAAACTTGAAAGAAATTACTAACAGCATTGCCTACTGGTTGATTCCTACTTTTCTATGAAATAAACTATGATGATAACTATTATGAAATAACCTACCTCAGTTGGATTAAGCCAGTGTGCTTCTGCGCCTTCGCTTTCCATCATACAAGACATAACCACTCGAGTTATTGCTTCATTTATTCGTTCATGATCATCTAACTGAGGCTAGAGGAAAATGAAGAAGGATCAAACACGAGTTACTTTTATAATAATTATAATATACGAATGAAGAATTTTGAAAAATAATGTTAAAATTGTCATATATCCATGCAATTTACAAATAGGTTTGACGAAATGTCATTGAACCTTCTGCGGCATATTAATGATACGAGTGAAGATCGTAATAATGCATGTCAAGTGTCACTGCTTTACAACTTACCATATCTACCCAGAAATTTACACTTATGGAAGTTTCAAGATTCTCCACTAGATGCCACCAGTGTCTAGGTACAAGCAGCACATCTCCAGGGTGAAGAGTCACAATATGAGGGCTAGCATCCTGAAAGAATTTCAAACAAAAACATCTCTCTAAAATTCAAAGTAAAAGAAAGTTCGTTTTCTAAAACACGACGAAGCTTGGGTCACATAGAACTATCCATGTAGAAGATTTTCCACACATGTAAAGTTTATGTATTGGACGACAGATAATGTTCCAAACGTGAAAAATAGAAACGTGAAAAACGTGGAAACGTGGAACGTGGAAACGTGAAAAATAGATGAAAAAGCTATAAATTACCAGTAATAGAATAATATAATGACATAAATGTGGGCGAATTAACAGAGTAATATTAACGTCAGTTTACCTTTAGCAAAGCACAGTTTTGGGAGTCAGTTGAAAAGTTCTCACTGCAAAATATACTTGACTCTTCATAAGGAATCCTGATTGGCTTGAGCCTCTCCGTGTCATCAGGAGGAAACAAAGTCCAACATTTTCTATTAAAAAATTGAAATTTATATTGCCTTACAACACGTTATGTACCATCGAATTACCAAAATAGTCAACAGCTTTTGATAAAATCATGTTAGAATCTTTCCACAATATATGGCCCCATACAGTTACATGTACCAAATGCTGAGAAATTAAACATGTAGTAGAAAAAGTAGAAATGACAACAACACAGAAGTTAGAATTTAAATAATCAACACAACAATAAGACCTGGTAATACTGTTGCAGACCTTCCGTAGAGCTGTGCAACTAAGTTGCATCCATATGAGTCATAGTGACAGGGGGTGTATGCACCTTTGGTTCCTAACCACAGGGTCGTGTCTTTCCCATGACTTTCCTTAAATCCAAACACAGACCAGTCCACAGCCTAAAAAGTTGCAGTCAGATAATTTCATACAGATTAAGATAACATTATTTATTTATTAGCACATTATGTGTAATCAAGTCAGGTTATTCCTAGAAATTTTTCTACAGGTTAAAGCTATAACACAAACTGGAAGTACACGAAAAGTTAAATTTAAAATTAACAAAAAACAACCATTTATAAATCATCTTGCATTCACTATATTGAGAATATATACATAATTTATACCTCGACTTCTTCTGATGTTTTTCCAAAAACGTCAGTGAAGTACCTGTAATCAATATAGGCCCAGTAGACTTTGCTATTGAACCCAAACAGGGGATTGATTGTGCTAGCATTCCCTTCACTCCACTCAATAACATCTTGTACTGTGGCTTGAATATACATGCAGTCTGTTTCAAACTGTGTTCCTAGGTAACAAAATAATACAATTAGGAAATTATTATTCTAATACAATATGTGACTGAGTATTATTACATTTGTTTTTTAATGTTTAAAATTTGACAATTAAAATAAATTGTCATTGGAACCTAGTGAAACTTGTTTTCTCTTTTGATTTGAAATGTAGTTTCTCCATATTATTTTCACTGTAGCATGTAATGTCATAACCTCATAATGAATTAATATTCTTTATAGACAATTGCTTACATAGTCATTATAGTTCCTTGGACCAAGGAGCTAAATATAACAAGGAGAGGAAGCGCCGCCATATCTGGCCCAAATTTGGGTTCGGCAGAGACCCAAGAACAGATTAGTGTTCTATTGTCTCTGGGTTCGGTCTGCACAGCCGTTTCAGCGTTTCAGCTGATTATGGTCCATAGATGGCGCCCTTGAGGCATAAAGCACACAGCCAATCTGCTTCCTCTGCTTGTTATATTTAGCTCCTTGCCTTGGACTACCTTGTAACCTTTATGAGGTAGTCCAAGAAACTGTAGTTAAGGGACAGAGTTTAATATATCATTACATCAGGAGTGAATAATACTCGATCTATTATTATACTAGATAATGATAGATCTATTATCATTTCACTCCTGATTACATGTATGTAGTATACATGGGCCCACACAGCATAAATAACACATTGCCTTTCAAAACAGAAAGGCCCTGCCTGCTACTACTAATACCACTCCCACTGCTACTGGTATACATGTGTAGCCTATGGTAAAAGTTAAAAAACACATTCTGAGATTTACATTATCACTCATGGAACTGTTCATGTCTGCTTTCTCCACACTAAACCTACAACTTTTTATCAAATTTATCATTGCTAAGTAAAGATTGGCATTCCATCTTGCTTAATAAAGCCTGTTCATAGCACTCGATCCCGGGGCGGGGGGGCACTCCATATATATTGCATGGTAGGTAACTACCGGGTAGGTATGTGCCGCGGGAGAGACCCCCATTTTCAACCCTAAACATCCGTTCCATTGCATCGCATTTTTAAGAATATCTCGTTCCAGAGCATCACAAGTTTAGTTACCATGCAGATCTTACATTTTTGCCGTTCCTGAGACCCTAGTTTTTAACATTTCCGTTCCAGTGCATCGTACTTCAGAATACGTTGAAGCCGGGTCGTGAAGGCATGCATGCAACACATGCGCATATGGATGGATGAAGCATCCCACATTCAACAAACATTAGTTCCAGAGACGCCCATTTTCAGGTCTGAGTTTGTTCCAGAGCCCCCCATTTTTGACTTCGCAGTGGCACATACCTACCATAATGTGGGGCAGTGGCGCAGCGGCAGTTAATGTAAGCGGGCTATAGTACTAGAGCTACTATTTGATATGGTTAGGGTTAGGGTTAGGGTTAGGGTTAGGGAGTAGGCGTAGGTGACTCCCTAGACTTGTTAGTGGAGTAGGCGAGGTACGGTCCAGCATATTAGATAGTACCAGGGTGTTCCCGTATACCGGACCGTACCCAGGGTACGTTCCGGCCACAGGCACTTGAAGCATTTCAACTGTAAACACACGCCGACGCCATTGCGCGCACACTGACACATAAATATAGAGTCTCTATATTTATGT